GGGGAAGGGCAGGCAGGGTGCCACTGAGGAAGGGGTTTGGAGGGGCTTAAGACCTTCTTGCTTGTTCATGTGGCTGCAGCCTCTCTTCCCTTCAGTTAAATTTATACTATTGAGTATAGCACAGCAGTTATGGCTTGTATTTCTTTTCTGTTAGGTATTATATAAATGTTTCAGTTGTGCATCTTTCTGAGTTTATGTATCACCCACAAGGACCAGGGTGCAAATTCTAGCTCTTTCAACCCCTTGGGTAAGGGATGGACCTAAAGAAAGGCTCTCAATGCCTGAAAGCTTGTCTAACAACTTTCCCAACTATGCTGTTGGTCCAATAAAAAAGCCTTCCCTCTTTTCAAAGCAGACTATTTTCTGTCCTTTCCAAAAGTTTGTTACCATGTTGGACAACATTTTTATGAGAATCTTTTTTTTTAATTGTAACTAAAAAGTTTTCTTTGCTGAAAGTCATGCTTTTGTAGTTAACTGTATTTTAATAGTTTCAGTTTTAAGATGCTGACACGATACTAGGCAGGAGTTGTGGAAATTTTCTGGAAAACCAGACAAATATGATAATGGTAAGGTTGGTTTTTGAATTCTTTTTAAACCAAAGCTTTGAAGGGTGGGGAGAGAAGGAAGGTCACTTTTGTGATAAAAATTTTTGAATGAAAAAAAATTCTGTCCACTATATTACAGGTTTTGGCTGTCCTTCTGGAATTTGTGCTTGAAGTGCCAGCAACAAGACCAGGTGTGAAAGAACTCCTTGCCAGCAATACTAACCCTTCTTACCCTTCTTGGTGGTAAGGTAATACTTGTATAATCCTGAGTCATAGGTGACCAAGGTCAAGAAAGAATTCAGTCTCTGATTTGCACTCCTGTGTGCAGAAGCTTAATTACATGGTGACAGAATAAATAGAACCTATAGTAAAAAATGGAGCAAATGAAGCTAGCAAGGGCAGATGTGAGTGGGTGGCTGGGTGGGTGGGGGAGAAGGGCAATACTGCAGTGGTGCAGTCGTCACAACCACTGTATTGCCACTGCTGATGCTGTCCCTGGCTGACTTAGAAGTAGGGGGAGTCCCTGAGCTGCTCCTGTCCCACTCAATCTGTGAACTGCAATTGCCTGGGGTGCCACAGACTCTTAGTAAATCCTGGACCCACCTTTGGAAGCTAGGCAAACTGCTCATCCTGGAAAGGAACGGGAAATGGTGGCTGTAGATTCTCCATTATATTTCTTGGAAGAATGCACTATTACAGAAAATCTGAATTAATAAAATCCTCCATGCTGTTATACTTACTGCACAAGGAAGCATAATTATTTGCTAATTAAGGCCTCTGCCTTGTAAAGGGATCTTGCTTGGTGTCTAAATAAAGCCAGTGAGATCCTGAACTGATGTTCAACTTAGCTTGGGTCTTTGCCTGATCAGGGCTTCTACTGTTACACCCTTACCACTGGGTATAGGGCTTATGAGCAAAGGCATTTCCTTTTACGTGGGTAGAACAAATCACTATAGTGAGCCATGCATGAGGTTATTCATAGAAGTAAGGTTTTATGGGATTAGACTCACAGTGGGCACATCTACACATTCATTAATGCGCCATAATTGATACTACTGCAAATTAGTGCAGATGAGTGCTTTTTATGTCATGCGTAATGCCCACTGGACTAAAGATACTGTGCATTAGTGCAGGTGAATGCTTTTTTGTGACACTTAATGCCCATTGGACTAATCTACTGTGTGTTAGAATGGTTTTTGCCGGTAGTGGTAGAATGTGCCATAGAATTAGTCCAATGGGCATTAAGCATCTCATGTAGTTGTGTCCAGTGGACAGTGTAACAGGACACTTAAGGCATGTGTTACTTTAGGAGGAAAAGGCTGCAGGAACAACTCAATCAAGGGAGACACCTGACCGGAAAGAGGCTTGGCTTAGGGTGTATATAGCCCAAGTCCTGAGCTGGGCAGGCAGTCTGATCCTGGAGTTTGATGCGAGAGGAGCTCTTGAGCAGGCTACAGACAGGAGAGGCTTCTGATGGATACCAAGAAAGCCTGTGGGTTATAGTCTTAGGCTTGGGGTAACATTGGCAGTTTAGCATGGGATTAAGGAGAGATGGAAGTCCCAGCAAGTGGTGATTAGGGGGGACTATGGGGAGGAGTAAATCCTAACAGGCCTGGGAGCAGGGCCAAAGGCCTGGGAGCAAAGCCATAGCCTGAGTACAGGGAAGAGAAACGACAAAAAAGTCTGGGAGTAAGGCCAGAGCCTGTGAGCAGAGCAGAGAGACCAGGGCTCAGGGAGGGACTGAGATGGATGGGACTAGAGAGCTCAGCACCCAAAGAGGGTCAGGGAAGGAGCTAGAGAACCCATGGAGAGGCTGCGCAGACTTGGGCTGGGTGCCCATTACACTGATTGAGACTGGGGTGGAGGGCTCAGGGAACTGACTGGTGATAACTGATTGATTGGTAACATCTGTGAGGCTTGGGCATGGCTAAAAGGGGAGATGACGAGGCCACAAAATTAGCCCTTTATGCAATAAGCAACTAGATCTGTACTCCCTCAGAAATCCGTGGGGTGGCCACTCAGCCTCCCTTTTGACAAGTGTGTATTTACATGAAGAAGTGGCAGGGGAATAGAATGGGAGGATGCTTAAAGGACAGGGAGAGAAGGGGGCTGAGTGGCCAACAAGGGGCATCGGAGCCACCCCCAAGGCAGGCCCTTGTTATGCAAGAACATGTCCTTGTTTAAAATGTTGACTTTCAAGGGGAATGAATGTGAGCAGTGAGGGCCCCCCACATTGACAAGACAAAAACATTAAAACAACTCTTGAGGAAAATGGAAGCCTCAGTAATAACAGAGAGCTGCAGTGGAGCAGTCAGGGGAGTAGGCAACAAGCGTCATGTCCTCTGTTTCTTCCCTGCAAAATATATTATTCCCTCCTGCTTGGAAATAAAACAAAAACAATCTTTGCTTCACTGCCAGTGACACTACTACTCACGTATTTGTATCTACTGACTACTGACCACTTTCCATGCTCTCAGGATCTGTCTCATGTAATATACTGCTCAGCTGCATTTGTCATACATTTTTGACCCTCCCAGTGATGCCACCTTCCATAAAAAAGGTTAGTGTCTTACATTCAAAACCTTTTTTGGCAGCCTCCAAGCTGCTGCCATTTTTTAAATACCTCAGCAACCAGCATTTTACCAATCAATTTAAGCTAATCTGAGATACAGAAAGAGGGGCCAGTTCAGTTACAGACCAGAGACAAGTTTGAAGTCCAGTGTTCATAAGTGAGATGGGCAAGTGTGGCAATGTGGGAGGTCCCCAATCAGCCACAGTGCTGGTATCCCACTGCCTCTGGGCACGCTGCCCAACTTGCTTTCCTGCCACACCTTGCTGTTAAGTAATTAGTTGGTAATTAGGTGGGAGGATGCCCTTCCAGGGCCCTAATGTGTAAGGGCCAAATGCACACACTCCTACCATCCCTTAACATGTCCCATGCCTCACAGTTGTTGCTCACAGCTGTGCTAAGCTCCAGCCTGAGGCCAGGCTCAACTTATCACAGCATTGAGTCTCTTTCACTCTGCCCTGCTAGGGCCACACTCATACCACCTCCCTTTCACAGAGGCCTCTCACTCTCCACCAACTCTCTCCTTCTTTCTTTCATCCCGGAGTCCTGGGCCACACACATAGCATCCCTTCTCTCCCAGGGACCACATTCACCCTGCCCTCACCCAGAGGTTCCTCAGTCTTGCTACTCTTCACTCCCCAGCCAACAAGCACTAACTCAGGCCCCCACTCTAGCAGAACTTCCACTCAATCCCCTGCCCTCAGGGCCCCCAACTCATGCCCCTCACTCACCAGGCTTCACCCCTGCCACTGTCTACTCCACCCCATACTCTGGGGTCGCACATTCCCCACAGACTCAGGTACCACTCATTGGTGTGCCTGGCCCACAACTCACCCCCTCTCATCAGGGCCTCAACTACTGATGCCCTCTCTCAGGGTCCTAACTACTCCTCTCGTGGGGTCTTCCAGCCTTAAGGCTCAGGTACTTCTCAAAGCTAACTTAGCCTCATCTCCAGGGTCTTTCACCATTTCAGGCTCAGGTGCTTTTCAAAGCTTACCTGGCCTTCACTACTCCTCTTCAGGATCTTGCACCCCCAGTGGGCTCAGGTGTCCCCTATGGATGTCCCTGGCCCCACTACTCTCAGTGAGTGCATAACCCATTGGAAGAGGGGTGGGGCAACTCTTCCTAAGTTCTGTGTTGATAAATGGTTTCTGGCTGTAGATCTGGCAGGTCACAAAGTATAGTAATTTGCCAATGTGGAAGTGTATTGTACTGTGCATTGGTAGAATTTCCTGTTTTGGGAAGCAGGGAACTCAGTAACAGTTGCTCTGACTCCATCTTCCTTTGGTTTTGCATTTTTCTATCTTCATTGTTATAGCTACCCTTTTTCCTTTCTTAGTCAACTCTAGTTCCTGTACCAGAGTTACCTGTTTACTACTAAATTATGTATTTTGCATTACCAAATTTCAATACTTTGCTATAAGAATAATTCAACAATAATGAGCCCACTTAATCACCAATAAGACTGTTGACTTCAATAAAAGACTGTATTGTACCAACAATGAAACAAAGGTATGGCCAACATCAGACTTCATTGTTTGGGGACCAGTGGGAGTAGGTGAGCGCAACATGAGTGTAGCTCCTTGGAAACATGAAGAACACAGCACAAATATTCTACTTTACAGTGGTTTAACTTCCTCTCTCCCCAGATGGGCAGATTCCCAAGTGGTCACATTCCAGAACTGCCATTGTACAAGGAAAATTTTCTTTCATGTGAGAACATATCCAGTATTTCATTTAAAATAATGGAAGACTCTGCCTTTAATATAAACGATCTGTTTTGAAAAACCAGACAGGGGAAGTGTTACTAGCATGCAGATTTAGATTCCAAGGTTCTGACATACTATTCTAAATCTCAGCCAGCAATGAAGAAGCTAAACATTGATTGCCACCATATTCAGCACGCTTTTAAACTTTTTACAGGTTTTTTCAGGCTATTTGCCTTCTATTTATTATGAACACTTTGCTACTCTTCCTTTGTTTCATCCCTTTATTCCATCAAACAAGTCACTTCCTAAATTGGAAAAGAAATCAGATAAAAAGGATGAATCCAGAGAAGTCAGGGAGCACAGACTAAAAAAATCTAAATGGAAAAAAACCCACCTGGTCTTGACCCATTAGATCCTGCAGTCTTGGAAAATGTAAAAGCGATTGTTAGTTTAAAAATCTGTTTGTAGATATTAGCTATACAGTATATACTTGCAAGCACAGATGTTGGCTGCTGTTATGTGTCATCCTAAAGTGTCGGGAGAACTCAGTCATGTCTGTACAGCACTTTGAAGAGTGAAGTGCTAATTAAGTACTAAACAGAATAACAAGGTTCTTTTATTGAAACTTCCCTCTGCCAACCTGCAGAGTGGTCTGAGACTTGGTAAAACAAGCCTTGTTTAGGATATAACCATGAAAAGAAAACCTGCCTTGCACTTAATTCATTGCTTTGTTATGTTCAAAAATCTACCAGACAAAGAGTGCATTAGGGCCTAGTCTTCATTTTAAGTGGTTGCACCCTGACACTAGGAATGTAACAAATTACTACCTAGGCCTAAATCAAACCTCTGTCTCTTTCTGTGGGCTACTAGGAAAAGGCCATCAAGATGTTGACATTTCCAGTTAAGTGGATCCTTTCCAGTCCTGTTTTGGACTTAAACACTGCACAAAGACAGGAATCACAATGCTGGTGGGTGATCTCACATCAGTGCACAGGTGTCAACACCAAACACTAATTCAATTGGAAGTTTTGGGCGGCCTTGAGCCAGGGAGCTCATGAACAGCACCTCATCAACGTAGATGGAGTTCTATTAAGCTGACTCTGAATGTTGCTTTTTGATTGCTTGGACAGTGGAGGTAGGTGATCACTCCTTATCCCAGTGGCCCTCTCCTCTAAAGGGAGATTGCCTGAGATGTTCAATTTTTTTTACCCAATTTTGTGAAGGGAGACTGAGTAGGGACCTAGGATCTACTTAAATCATGACTTCACGATTTTTGCGGAAACCATGAAAAACAGCAGTTTCTGTGATTGCTACAACAGATGGCATTTGCTGTGATTTCTCTGGAACCACCTGAAAAAAAAAAAATTACTAAAAATAAAAGGTTCCCAGTGGGCAGAGGACCTTGCAGCCTACTGGGGGAGGAGAGACACTGACTGGTGGAGTGACATGAAGGGGAGCGGCGAAGATGGTGACCTCCTCTTTGTCCCTCCTCCTTCGCCAGGCCCTCTCTGTCAATTAACCGCAAGGGGCAGTGCCTTTGGGGCCTCTTAGCCAATAAGTGGTGAAGGCTAGGGGCCACTGCAAAATGCCTGTAAAAGTGGCTCTGCACACTGCAAGCAGGCTGTGAAAAACCTTTAATCTCACTCTGATGTAGGTAGGTCCCCAACTATGAGATGCTGAATGTTCTGATGCATCCCTAGGGAAGCTGACACCCGGACACCTGTTAGCGGCTCAAAGAATGCCAACCATGACTTCTCCCACTGACCCAGCTTTGTGTTTGCAGGCACTCTGACTGATGGGAAGGAGCAATGTAAGGATCATGTGTCATTTTGTCTTAAAGGACATGTCCATACAATTTTGCTAGAGTTGAAGTAAAATCACTTAAGTTCCACCTCCACAGCAAAAATCTATCACTATGCTGCCCAACCACACTCTTTTTATGTAGACTGAATCAGATGTACTTGAGATGTAGCTCAAAAGAATGACCCATATAACAGTGTGAGATGGAGATTTATCCCCATGGAGATTTATCCCCAAAGAAGGCATTTTCCTGAGATAGACTCCCATCTTTACAGATACCAAATTTCTTCTTAACTCTTTATTTTATTCCTAGCATGTATGTGTTCTGTATCTTTTTAGTTTTATAAACCCTTTCCTGACGCACGCATGCACACACATGCACGCACGTGCGCAAACATGTACAGACAAACGTGTGTGTGTGTGTGTGTGTGTGTGTGTGTATCAGAAAAGGGTTTACAAAACAGGCACTCTCTGGGTTTAGTTCCTGTGTGAGATGGTGAGAGAGAGAGAGAGATGTGCAAACTTCTCAGGTCCATGTATATATATGGACCTCTCTCTCTCTGTCACTCACACACACACACACACACACACACACACACACACCATCTTACATCTTGCAAAGGAACTAGAACTAGAGGGTGCCTATAGACATGGCAGGAGACTGCTCTGATTTGCTATAATTACAGCCTCCACATCTCATGTATCAGCATCCCTGTGCTTCAAAATGGCAGTGGGGGTGCTTTAACTAAAGCTTGTTCAATAAACTTTAGTTAAAATGCCCCTGCTGCCATTTTGAAGTGCAAGGATGCTGATACATGAGATGCTGCAGTGATTTATTTAGCCCCTGGAGCATGTGTAAAAATGCCCAGAAAGAGGTAGAAGTAGAAGGCAAGGAAGAGATGCATCTTATAGGCTAACTGAAACAGAGATGCATAATGTTTTATGAGCAAGAGCTTTTACTTCAACAGATGCTATGAGAGCTGTGATATATAGAATAGAGTGGATTGGTCCCCTGGAGCTCCTTCAATTTGGCATTTATCTGCTTGCAGCTGATGCACTCCATTCTACATACCATACAGCCTATTCTGCCAGTTTTCAAAGCATCTGATGACTCTTACATATCTCTGATTCAGTAAGTCTAAAAGATACACTTCTACCGTTCTTTTTTCCTGACTTCAGACTAATAAGGCTGACTACCTCTCTCTGCAGAGAAAGAGATAATATTGTATAGGCCTCTCATGCATAAATCTCTGCTGGACAGGAGAGAAGAAGAAAGAAGAAGAAGATGGTAAGTGGTAGCCCAAACCAGCATGGGCAAAGGAAGTGCATGGTGAATTTCCCATTCAATAACAGACTACAGCTGGAAGCCACAGGATTCTATGTTGAAGAGACGGGGCTAACCGGGCACTTACCAACCTCTCTTTTCTTTCTCCTTGAATTCACTTGCATGCTGAAAGCTATTGTTTTCTTTTTAACAATTGCAAACCAAAAACAAAATCATGTATATTAGATGAGAGACAATGAGGCTTCTTGCTGTTTTCATAGTTTTCTTCTGTGCTGCCCTTTATACTTCGAGCTGCCTCCCTATTTCTTACAGCTAGATGCCTGCCCTTAAGAATTTCTATCTTCTCTGACAAAGTCAACTAGAAAAAGATGCACAAATCATCTGATACTTTTGGCATAATAAGCTTCAGCCCAATATTTCAAATCATGTAGAGGAGGGAGACTTAAGAATCCCCAAAACTGCTGTGGATATTGAACTTTTGTTTTCTTGCCAGTGTTATCAAACTCACAGTGTGACTAAAAACAATGGATTGGTTCCTGGACTTCTCAGAAAAAACTGTGTTCTTACATATGCATTCAATTACCATATACATTGAAACTTGCATTGATCACAAGTTACTTGTAAGATAAAATGTTTTACATAAAGGACTTTCTGGAGAGAAATATTAAGTATACACAGTAAGTTGAAGGATATTTCAGAAGAATTTGACAATAACAAGCTAAAGCACTGCCAACACTGTTTCAGATTTCATGGTCAAAATGAGAAACTATGGGGAGAGGATATAGAATTTCTCTCTGATTTGAATAATTCCACACACAAAATCTCTTCTAGGTTGTAATATTAAAGATCCAGATTTCTCCCTCTAATCACAGTTAAAGAAAGAGGTTGTATCACACTTAATTGCAATAAAATGGTGGAAAATTGTAGAAGACAGAAAGCTGGACTAAGAATTGTCAAATGTGACAAAATCTGCAGGACTGTGAAATAGGAGCTTCATTACCAGGAGCAGTTAACAAACAGCAGACTGCAGAACAAAGGATGGCTTGATTGATGGAATATCAAAACTATTAAAGCAGAGAGGACTGTTAACACATATGAAATGAAGAGTTTAGAAGGGATAAGGTAGATTATAATAAGCCATGAATTCATTTGACTCCCCCAGCACTGGCTTGACTATAAATGCTGCTGCCAAAGGGAGGTGCAAGTGTACCACTCTGGATCTGCCCCTGGCTCAGTATCAGTGGAGGATGTTTTTAGTGCTCATGGATAGATTTGATCAAAACTTCATAAGAATCAAAACACTGAAGCAATGAACAAGTTTGCAAAGTGTATTAGTTGTTAAAGTTAATAGAAGAGGAGTTGGTCCTAATTAGTTAGTGGATTCATTTTTTGTACTTTGTTTTAGTTAAATAATTAAAGTCTTACTATGCATAAGGAATAAATATGCTTGAGAACTGGTTTAATGGGCTTGTTTTCTGACTTCTCTTCTTATATCCTTTATCATTTTTATTAGAATGAAAATAATGAGTTTGGGGGCCAGAGAAAATCATAACTATCCTGGTTTCCCAATACTAGATTTCAGGGTAAACTGGAACTAATGAAACACTCCTTGGGTGTCTGAAACAGACAGGTAGAGAGTGAAGTCTGTGGCTCCTTTTTATATTCAAATATTCCCTTTTACTTGAAAAATAAACATAACTAAATGTTCTAATAAGCTAAACATAAAAATGGGGTAGTTTATCAACTTTATTAACCCATGCAAAAGATAAACTGACTTAACAAGAGTTAACACATAGCAAGTAGTAGAATAGTTTAAGTTTGCCCACTCAGTTAACTTACATTTCATGTCTGATTTTTTCCTATTAATTTTGTTTGCAGGAAATGACAGTATGCTGGATGGGATGGATCTGTGTCTGGGTCCGAGTGGCAGCTGTGTAGCCTTTGGCTTTTAAGAGACAAACCCAGAACAAACATCATGTCTTATCCCCTTAGCTCAGTTCCAGAAGGAAACCAGAAGACTTTATACAGCATTCCACATTCATCTCAAAAGCAGTAAAACCTGAGCTTTATAATTCACACCAAGGTCATGCTCTACTAAATGCTGTTGACTTAATTAGAATAGAAGAAAGGAATGAAGATATAGCCTTTGTTCATTCAAGCTGTGATTGTAGTAATACTGAGTAAAAGTTTCCTTAAACAAATTCTTTACAGCCAGTGCTG